TTCCCTTCCCTTCCCTTCCCTTCCCTTCCCTTCCCTTCCCTTCCCTTCCCTTCCCCTCTGCTGGCAGGCCCTTGGCAGCTTGGGGGCTTCGCCTGCTGCCTCCCTGCTGAGCTAATGCAGCATCTGTTTTAAAAGCTGCCTCCTCCTGATGAATAATTGAAAAGCCACGCCGCGGCGCACTCACTGGCCGCCACTAAAGGCCATTAGGAAACACACCAGTGCTCTGGGGTGAAGGCTGCACGCCCTTTCCTCTTGTCCGATCTGGAATAATTGATGTCACGGCTGCCCTCTGCCCTTGGCGAGAATCCTCACCTTGAATCTTGGAGCTCTTTCCAGGCAGATGGAACTGCTTTCCCCTCCCCATCCCCAGGCGCCCCTTTCCCTTGTAGTTACCAGGTCAGCCTGAAAATGGAAATGTGGGGTGGAGGGAGAGCCATCCCGCCCCACAGGGAATGACTGCTTTGTGCTGGAGGGCTGTCTGCAGTCCTGTTTCTTGAATCCTCGGATGCCCCTAGCCTGACCTTTCTTTTCTCCAGAGAGGCAAGGGCTGGGCTGTCCAAAAAGCATGGGCTCGAGCTTCCTTTAGGTATCCCCATTTCTTAAAGAAGCTGCAGGTTCCCCCTGCTTATGTAGCTGTGCCAGGCTCCATAAATATACTCACACACATGTAATTAACCTTCCCAAGTGAAGGTTAAGTGAACCTTTGCCGTTCAGGGCTTGTGAGTAGGTATTGAGCTAAAGGAAGAGACGCCGCTGCTTCCCCATCCTGCCTTTTCTAATTTCTCTTAATAAATCAGAATTCAGTGGGGTGCTGCTGTTCATCCTTCACCTGAACTCATGTAATCAGGGAGTGCTCTACCACAGGACCTGCAGTCTTAGGAAGGATCAGGGGAAGCGGGCAGGTCAGTCGGGCCTGGGTGGGAAAAGCAGGGAACCCAATAGAGAATGATCCCAGCGTCACTCCTTGGAGAAGTTCAGGTTTCAGCTGCTGACGGTGCTTGGGTGGGCTGTGATTCCCTGCTCCAGGGTCCTCGCCTCCTGCCTCACCTCCTGCTCAGCGAGTCCTGAGTGGAAGAATTGACAGATCTGGGTCTCTGGGTCTTCTCAGCCTCCCTGGAACACTAGCCTAATTGGATGCCGGCCAACCACCATTCAGTGCTGAGCACATTCAGAGAGAGTCCACCCCCCTTGTCCCCCCAGCTTTCTAATTGGTAGAATGCCAGCTCCATCAGGAGCAAGAATTGCTTTACAGAGCAGCTCTGCTTGGAGAAGCAGGATAAGGTGCTGTGGAGAAAGCATAGCTGGCGGTTCAATGAGGCAGAGAGCCTAAGGAGAAACAAGAGGTTCCTAGTCCCTACAAGGAGGAGGTTGCTATTTCCTGGGCCTGGCTGGAATTGTTCTGCCCAGAGAAGTAGGGAGTCAAGTCCAGGCGAACCAGGTCTCCAGACTGCACATCACAGACTTAATCCTGGCACTAGAAACACAATCCCAGGGACTTGGCCAGTATACATGGCTTGGCTCCCACCTTGTTTCCTTTCATAAAAAGTATCTATTCATTTACAAACAACAGCATCAGCAACGCCTTTGCCAAACCGAGCTCTGTTTTGCTCCATATCCCCACGTATAAAAACCTTTAGGACCATAAGAAATTGGCACAGCAGAAATACTTATGACTTCTCATTATGAATGGAGTATAATTCCTCTGCAAACCGCTGGGGCTGGCCATTCTGCATCAGGAATAGAATAGGCAAGCCAGGCGCAGACATTGGGATAGCTGCACTACCCTGTTGCCGCCAGCAGGGGTCATTATGCCCCTAGAATGTTGCTTGGAGGAGGTTTCTCTGCTGGTCCCATGGAGGCGGATGCTCAGTTACTGCCTACCTAATGCCATTTTGGCTCTGAGCTCAGGGGTCCTTAACCAAGTGGGCTACACTAGCTGGAACAAGATCCACAGTGCATCTCTTGTGTAATTCTTAGGTATATGTCTCATGTTTATCATCCCAGGATCTGGTGACTTTATGGTGGAGCCTCTTTCTACCCTGTTCTCTTGCAACACCATATTTGCCCAAACCATTTAACTGTCTCTTCCTTTCTCAAACATCACAGAAGCAGCAAATGTTCTGGGACCAACAGAAGTTTAAAAGCTCACCTGCTGCTCCTTTCCCAAGATCTCTGAGCAATTTTGAAGCCACCCTCTGTCCAAATTGCTCTGAGCACTTGCTTTCGTGTGTCTGAAAAACTAGCAGTACGATAGAGCTGTTATTGCCCCTATGGGGCAAATGCTTTTCTTCTGCTATCCATTCCCTATGCAGACTAGCTCAAAAGACATTATGCCTATTTCCTGGGTGCTTCAAAAATCTGTTTAAGCTCACAGCAGTCACAGAAAAAGGGTGTTTTTGTGATGCTATTGTAGAGTGTCTTTCCATAAGCCACATAAGTGTCCTTTGGTTTGAAGCACAACCCAAAGGACATACAGATGGGTCCACATATTCCACTAAATCATGGCTTATCTCACCATGAGTTTTGGATTTCTGGATTAAGGCTCACTTGACTGGGCTTGCAGAACAGTCATACAATTATATTTCCAAATCGGAGTGAATGGATTCATGCAACATGCGACACTAAAGCGAAGCAACCCATATTTGCATATATGTATGTTGCCCCACTGAGGATGGTTTACAAAAGTACAATTAAAGCTGACTTTAAATGGCGTGGCTCAGCACAATGAGCGAGCCTACTCATACTCTCAGTGGGTCCCAATACCGTCAGTGAGACTTGTGGCACGGTAAAAACTGAACCCTTGCTTTGCAGCAGCTTGGATAAAACCCGAGTGTACTCACATTGGTTGTGAATAATACACAGATCAAACATTTTGCTCATGTCAAGATAGCTTGTTGCTGCAAAGAAATGTTCACGCCGATGTCATGGCTTTTTGATGAATGTCTACTATGGACGCATCAATACGTTGCTTTAGTATTGTTCCCAACACAATAACAGAGATGTCTACTGTATGTGGAAACACTGCGGGGGGCCTCCATAATCACATAAAAACGTGCAGTTTTTAATAAGTCATTTAGACCAAACATATGCATCGTACACGTGCTTTTGTTCTGAAATTAGGTGGGTCTTTCAAGCTTTCCCACGCTAGAAACATACGAACGCCGGAGTCCCAGCCGTGCACTAGCCCAGCAGCCATCACTTTAGCCCGGCTTGGCTGCCGCCGCCTTGCACCGGAATTCGCGTCAGGCTGAAACTGGCGCTCACTGTCCATGTCCCGCAGGCAGGGACGCAGGAGCCCCCATTCATTCCGCCGGCGCGGGTCGCGATTTACGAAGCCGGTCTCCCCCAGCGGAAGGCAGACGGGCGAGCCTCGCAATCGCCTCCCTGCCCACGGCCACAGCTGCAAACGATGCCACTCTCCAGACCGGGCGCTCCAGCAGCCATCTGGGCGGCTCCCGTGGCGGATAAAGGGGCGAGAAGGGAGCAGGCGCCGCCGCGGTCCCCAGAGGGAGCCGCTCGTCCTCTCCGCAGCGCAGGGATGAGGAGCAGCCCGCCGCGGGCGCCGGGCGAAGCGGCTCTCCGTCGCCCGGCGTGGCTCGAGCGCTCGGCGACCCGAGCCAAGCAGCTCCTGCCGCCTGAATGAAGAAGCGGAGGACGTGCCTTTCCGCCCACCGGCTGCCTCCCCCGCCCCCTTCAGGCACCACCTACGGCCCTACTTTGGCTTTGCCGGGAAGGGGCCGGGTTGGGCGCCCGCGTTCAGCGATCTGATGGTTTCTCGGGGAGAAAGCGGCGCTTCCGTCAACAGGCCGGATTTCTAGGAAAGCGACGCTCTGTTCTTTCTGCCTTTGATGTGAGGCGGTTCGAGATTAGCGAGATTAGCAAGATTAGATACCGCATAACTGCTACTCTTGTGAGGTTTCACAAGGTCTTGTTGGTTTGGGGGGTCTGAAGTCTGTCGCTCTTTTCGCCTTATTTGGCTCTGTCCGAACTTGCCCTACTTCCTTTTCCTGGAGGGCAGGAAAAATTGCCTTTATAAGGACCGGGGGCAGCGCGAGGACGACAGGTCGCCGCCGCCGCCGCCTTCTTCGGCGGCACAAAGAATTTCCGCTTCTCCTTCCGCGTCTTGCACGCGATCACCTGGTAGACCCTCATTTGACTGTCTGCAGCCTCCGCCCGCATTCCTCAAGCTGAAGAGGCCAATCGGGCCGGCTTGCTTGCTTAAACCGTACATCAGCCGCGTTCCCCCCCTCCCCCTCCCCCGGACCAACTGTTTGTAACCTTTTTCCAGAAAGATCGGGAGATTTCAAAAGCTTGCATAGGTGAGCGGCCTTTGCGTTGGCCCAATAAAAGCATTGCCTTAATACGGCTTTTGAACGACGGGCAGGAGGACAATAATTTATTTCACACACACAATTGTGCAGCAGTGGCAACTGCGTTCTAAGGCAGGTGGTTTCTTCCTCCACTCAAGGGACCCCTTTGCTTACTTACCTGAATTATTGTCAGGTACTTGAGAGAGGCCATTTTATTTCCCACGATGGAGCCTCGTTATGGGGCCCTGTGGGAAACTGAAATGACAGCTCTCACTGGAGCACAGCTGCCCTCGAAGGAATGCTGGCACCAGGACACCATGCAGCAGAGCAGTTTTCTGCCCATGTTTGCATACAGTGCTGCATCGCACAGTAGCAAATCACATTGTAGCAAAGCACACTATGTGAGTCCACCCAATGTGGTTAATTTGCAGTTCAGAATGCCATGTAAACCCAGCGCATTAGCTTTACTGAGTAGGCGGTCCTTGGGTTAAGAACAAGTTCCATTCCGAAGTCTGTCTTTAACTCGAATTTGTAAGTCAGAACTCATACTTATGAATGGGCTGCCTATTACCAAAAATGGTGGACAGCGTTCTCCTTCCTCAACCCGATGAACCGCTGAAGCCGTGCAATGTTTTCATGAACCGCTGAAAACAGGCTGTATATTAAAAACGTGTGGCTTCAGCGGTTCATGAAAACATTGCACGGCTTCAGCGGTTCGTCGGGTTGAGGAAGGAGAATGCCGTCCACCATTTTTAGTAATAAGCAGCCTGTTCATAAGTATGAGTTGTCTGTAAGTCAGATGTTCTTAACGCGAGGGCTGCCTGTAACCAATGAGTAGGCCAGGTGTGCAAACATATCCAGTCTTGAGTTAAAGGAGTGAAATGGCTCTTAAACGCAGCGTATGAGATGTGCTGACTGAACATTCTGCTGGCAAAGCTGCACCAAATGAACAGTCCAATTGGGTCAGAGTCCTGGGCAGCCCAGAGGCCAAGGCCACAGGAGCTGTGCCCTTTAAGCTACACACACACACACACACACACACACACACACACCATCTATGCCCTGACCTCAGCAGCTGTGGAACTGACATGGGGATTTTTTTTCTTACTTCTCTGTATAAACGTGTGCGCGTGCATTGAGGTACAATAAATGCTTTGGCCGGGTGTTGGATCACTGGGAGAAACTGCATCTTCTCAGGTCTATTAGATCAAAACCTTTAGTGCTGGTACTGGCTGATAATAATACTGGAAAAAAAGCACTGGCTAGACTGGATTAAATCTTTACATAGAAGGTTCTATTGTCTTACACTCGGGAAGCTTGTAAATCAGGTGTGTTTGAAAGCCTTCAAACTAAAGAACCCCCAGGAATTGTATAGGTAGTCCTCGCTTATCAACCACTCGTTCAGTGACCGTTCTAAGTTACCACAGTGCTGAAAAAATAACTTTATGGCCAATTTATGACCATTTACGATCTTTGCAGTGTCCCTCAGTCATGTGATTGCCATTATAGTCAGTACATGTTGTCCTGTGCCTGACCTGTGTTTCTTCCCCCCCACCCCCACTTGCAGAACAGCGAGACTGGAGAGGAAAGGATTGCAAGAGAATAAGCTGTTTACTTTTCCACACATTGAAAACATTGTGATCCTGGGGCTGGGAGCTGTGGGCACACTACACAAACAGCTTACAGTACTCTCTTGAAATCTCTTCTCTCCAATTTCTTTGCTGTGCATTGGGGGCAGGGGGGGAAGCAAGTGATTTCTGCAGACAATCTCTCCTTCGACCCCTTCCCCCTGGGTGGAGAGATTGGAGAGAAAGAGATTTCAAGAGAGTAAGCTGTTGTTCTTCTATACATCAAAAGCAATGCGATCATGCTGGCAGCAGGAAAGGTTCAGGCAAAGGAGAGATTGCCTACAGAAATCACTTGCTTTTTTCCTCCATAAGCACCCCCCACCCCACCGCAGAGCAGAGAGATTGGAGACAAAGGGATTTCAAGAGAGTAACCTGTTTGGGTAGCATGCCCGCAGCTCCCAGCCCCAGACTGCGGTGTGATCACATTGCTTTTGATGTGTACAGGACAGCAAGCAGGCCCTTGAGCATTCCAAAGGGCAGGGGAGTGGTTAGGAGGCAAACAAAAGCAGAAGGTGTGAAACTGAGTAGTCTTGTCTCTTTCCAGCCAGAAAGCACAGTCATCGTCACATGATTTCCCACTTAGTGACCACTTTGCTTAGCAGTGGAGTTGATGGTCCCAATTAGGGTTGTTAAGTGAGGTTCTACCTGTATTTATTTTTTAAAAATCTACAGGCTGCATCTTCATCCACACCCACCCTTCCACCTTCCCTCTTCAATGTAAATGCAATACAAGCCTACCTGAGACTGATTCGACTGTTCTGTTTTGTGTGTCTGGATCTTTCTACGAACCACTGTAGTTTTGCTCATCTTTATTACAGTTTAGTTTTTCTGGTTTCAAAGGGATGTGTTTTTAATGATTTTAAACTGAAGTAAATACCAGTCTTGTTCTCAGATGCAAGGATGCTCATAACCTTTTGGACAACAAAATAAAAAACAGACCTAAAATACTCATTAATCTAGTATCCACACCTCTGCCTGTGTGTTGCCTCTGGATAATGAGGGTCCCTCCATTTTCAGTGGAGAGAAGAAAAAAAAGGGGGTGGAAAGGCTGTTTCCACAGGAAGTTTTCTGTTTTCACTGCATTGTATAGCAATAGTGTGGTTTTACAATTGCTATGCACCATTGTAAAAAATAAAAATAGAGAAAGGGAGTGTCTAAAAATTGGCAGAATACTGTGAATTCTGAAACAATAAAAAACTTCCAGCAAAATCTCAGAGGCCTTTACTTGCTCGCTCAGCCTCTGTTGTCCTCCAGAAGGCCTTTGCTTTTTTCAGTGCTGTGGAAGTAGACCCTTTAGGTAGGGGAAACAAGGGAACCATGTCTGTAGAGGTCTCATAGACAATGGTGTTGCACTGACACTACTGGGGCAGGAAACTCCATTGAGCCAGCATCCTTCCTCTTCAGGTTATTTGTGGAAGAAATGTTGGATAGGGAGGGGGAGTGGAGTAGAAGAGAGGCTGCTTCAAAAACTGGACAGTCCTGGGCATTGTGAAAGTTTCTTGAAGGGCTGCAAAGTCTTGACTGTAAAATTAATCCTATCTTGGGCAAATGTTCCCCAGTCCCTCCTCATTCTTCATACAAAAAGTTCATCAATCACTAATTTCCCTCCCCTTAAATCATTGTTGATATCCTACAAGCCCAACCCAAAATTCAATTTACTCCCCTTCTTGTCTTACCCAGTATTTTATCTTATTAAACAGCTAGCAGCAGCTGGACCACCTCATTCTCTTCCTGCCAGGTGTTTCTGAGTGCATTAACTTCTAAACTATGTCTCCAGCATCTGGAGTAGAAGAGATATTTGATTTATGTATTTATTTTATTAGATTTGTATCCCACTTTTTGTAACAGCAGCTCAAGGGGTTGTACATAGTGTGGTCTCTCCGTTTTTCCTCACAACCACCACCCTGTGTTGTTTGGGCTGAGAGAGCAACAGCCGCACACCACCAAATTCCTTTTATCCTTGGGCTACAAGTTCTGGGTGGGGTATTAAATGTGGGAAGGGCTTGATTCAAAAGAGCTGCTCTTAGAAACAAAAGCAATGCAGGGAAGGCAGGGTATATCAGACAAACTGCAGGCCTTGACCGGATACTGGCAGAGCAAAGAAAAGAGGAACGTCCAGGACGATCTAGCTTTAAAGGGCCAGATAACTACACAGCCTTCATTGTGTTGGGAATTGGGACCAATAATAGCACACCAAGCCTGTGTCTTCGGTTATTGCGCCTAGCTAGAAGGAGCCAAATTTCCACATTTGCAGTGAATCCTGGAACAGTCCTGTTTCCTCTGTTTTTGCAGAGTAGATGACACCTACGTTGTAGCACATTTTCTGGAGCGTTGACATACCTACATCGGATGCCTTGTAAGGTATGATACCTCTGGAGGAAAAAGCGAAGATGCCCTAGGGATGCTGGCAGGGAAATGCGACCTCTGGAACTTAGTCTGACACATCACAGTAACCTCCTCCTAGGAGCCCTACTAGTGTGCTGCTTCTAAACTTAGGCAAGGAAGACCAAAAGAACTAGGGCAAGAGGTTCCTCTGCTCTGATCCACCTTTTCCCTTGCAGGGTATGGAAGAATAATGCCCCTTGAGTCCAGGTGCCAGAACTCACCTTCCCCTCACCTGCCACTCAGTGTCCAGGCTCGGGCACCAGGCTGGGCCCCGGAGCATCTCAAGCCCTGTGGCAGGGGCTCAGTACTCCCAGAGTGTTGTCCGGTTCAGGGTATCAGCATCAGCCCGCAGGGTTCCAGCTGGGTCCCCTCGTAGGTATTTGCCATTCTTCCCTTTAAGGGCCACTCGGCTGTATTCGCGGAACTCAAAGAAGAAATCCTCAGACGTCTCGCCATCACTGCACACGGTGCCATTGCTGGCCACATACCAGAACCCGCCGTTGAGGCCTAGGAGCACCAAAGTTGCAGGAGTCATTGGAAGTGCACAGGAGTGAATACCATGGAGCCATTTGGGCTTTTAATGCTAAACCCTTTCTTGGAGGTCTCCCTAATAGTCTTTCCTATAGGGAAAATACATACAAGTTAGAAATCATCATGGACCAGCATGTTCAACCTCTGCAGAGTGGAGGATTGAAATACGAAAATGAGCACTGTGCCAGGATGATGATTATGAGGGTTCTTCAGAGAGTGGGGAACTCTAAAGAGACAATATTTGTCCATTTCTTTTATTCAACAGCCAACACAATCAAGATCACAGTACAGAATCTAGACAGCAGATGGTTCCATATTATGCAAGTACATGTTAGGGGAAGGGAAACAAAAGCCATGTTAAAAATAACATGAAGCACGAGGCTCCCTCATTAAAATACTGGCATGTGCATCTTTTGCCAAGGCCAGTTCTCTGGTTAAATGTCTTCTAATTGAACAGCTGTCCACAGCTGGTTAAGGCAGAGGCACAAGATAAGAGAAAAAGGAATTACTCATCCCAGGTGGGGCCTGGAAGACAGAGCAAGCAGGTCACTCTCACTTGGTCACAATCTTCCCTAATACAGGGAGATTTGATTCCTATTAACATTACCATAATTATTTCCAAATAAGCATCCAGAAAGAAAAACGAACATGTGCAGTTTTGGGTTTCTTTGCAAATCAGTATCTTCTTTTCCTCATATGGGGTGGAGGGTGGAGGTGATGCAACAGTTGGAGTGAGGAGGAAATGTTCTATATCTATTTTATGTGTACCAACAGCAACCAACAGTAGCTAACTATGATAACCCAGAGACAATCCCATATGGCAAGTGAGGTGTGAGGCTCCCGTGTGATTTGGCTAACTTTCACCAACTTAATCTATTGTGTGAAATTAGCTGATGGATTGTAAAGTTTTTATATAAGGTTGCTCCCCATTAATTTTTTAAAATGTTGTGATATTCCTAAAACTGCCCATATGATTGTTCAGCAACAATAAGTAAAATGTTGCAGATTCTTCTCCCTTCCAATTTTAATTTTCTTTCTTCAACACTCAGTAGTCTGTGACTGTTGATCATGTTCAGTTTTCATTAGGACTTTTTCTTAAAAGTCCACTTCTACAAACCTGGAATCAAAGGCACCAATCCTTCCCTCTTGTGGATGGTACTGTTTTGAATACAGAAGCACTGGCATTCAAAACATTTAGTTGACTATTAGTATATAGGATAGGGATGAATTGTAGTGAACAAAATGGATGTATTTGCATGTGGTTGCATATGGGAACTTCTAAGCGTTAAGAATAAGCCATTTTTGAGTACCCAGGCTCATGCTCATGTGATGGCAGTGGTCCACTGGGTTTAAACTACATTTGAAATGCAGGTGGGGGAGTCCATAGAAAGAAAATGAAGGAAAAGACATTATTTCTGCTTTAAATGTGATTAAGCAGATTTGGGCTTAAATAGATGAGTTTGGCCACCATCATGGCTAGTTTGACCCTGTCTTTTCCAAGGACAATTTGGGCAATTGCAGAGGACATCAAACAGGATGTTTTTGACCTGTTACCCCAGTATGCTCTCTGACCACCCCATTAAATGTAGGTGGCCAGTTGCTGGAATTTATTTATTTATTTATTTATTTATTTATTTATTTATTTATAGTTCAAATTTGGTCACCGCCCATCTCACGAGGAAGGAGGGCCAGGAATAGTTTCCTGCCATCCTGAAAATTAAAACTCAGGGAAACTAAAATTAGCCTTAAAACAGGCTTAACGTTTTTAAAAAGCACAGAAAAAATCCTACTCAGAAAACAGAAGTACCAAAAACAAAATCCTGCCATCCTACTTCTATGATGCAGTTCCACCTATTTTCTATTATTATCCTGCTCCCTGAGGCCAGCTCACCTCTCCCCCGCCCAAAATTCAGTATGGACCCTGACTACAAAGGCTGCCTATTCCTGTTATAGGAGCAGCTGAATCAGACTGTGGGAAACAATAAGCTTTGGGACCCTGTTGCTGAACTCCAAGTCCCAACTTTATTCCCTCTTGGCTATTCTAGCTGAAGTTGTTAAGAGTTCTAGAGCAGCAATATCTGGAGGACTACAAATTCTAATTCCCATCCTGATTATAATACAGGAGATGTGAAAGAGAAATTGGTAATAGTATAAACAATGCCATAGACAACCTTGGGTAGGAAGATAGCTGGGAAGCTTACGGCTATGTTAAACAAAATAATGGTTCATCTGGGTTTCTGTTCGTAGCCTTAACGTTATTTCATGTACAGCATTCCTCTGGCATGTGATCCAAATTAATTAATTGTGTGAATGAAGAATGCTACCCAGCTCCCTCTCTCTTCCAACCTCCCAGTTTGCGGACAGCTAATTACCTTTGATCTGGTAAGCACCATCACTAAAATTGAGGTGGAAGACATCATAGATTGAACGGTTGGCATCCAACAAGTTGGAGTTGCGATGGTAGCAAACAAAGCCATGAGCCCCACGAAGAACTAGGATGGGTCGGTTGATCAGCTTGAGAACAAATTCTTCATCTTTTCCTATAATGACAACTGCAACTCAGTGAATTCTGGGGTTAATGTGACTACCATGACTTCACAGGAGCTAAGAATCCAAAAGGGGCATTTGACATCAAGTGAATACAAGGTTGCTCCCCTAGAAATGCCTATTTCTAAGAACCTGTTCATGCGGGTATTTGGCAGACATAAGGGAAGATTTTAAGTAGTTAGGATTATGAAGTTGGGACTCATTTTATGGTCCTACTTCTGCAAGCTTCCTGCAACTTCCTTGGAAACTCCAGCTTTCATCAATTCTCTATCTAGCTTTCCAACATTACACGCAAAGACTTTTCAAGATCTATTCCAGCTCTCTCCAATCTGATGACCTCTTGACTTTCATAAGCCCCACAGCTTATTGCTGGCAAGGGAGGGGAGGGGAGAAAGAGAGAGATGATGAGAGTGTAGTCCAACATATCTGGAGGACTCCAGGTTTACTCTCCTTCTCTTGGCTACTAATGAGAGCTATGTAGCAGCTACTTTCAGATATTGCTAGATTCATCTGGCTTGATTCTGTTTTACCATCTTCTAGATTCCACAAAGCACGCAATTGTGTCAAATGTTTGATGTCTAGATTTGGTTTGGATTATTCATCTTTCATAGTTATTTGTAATACAAAAGCAGTAGAAAATGAATGAATTTGACTAACCCACCTCTCTACTAAAATTTGTTAGCAGTCCAGTTAGCATGGCAATTGTCAGAGATGTTGTGGTCCTCTAGTATCCGAAGGACAACAGATTTTTCACAGTAGTTTCCTATTTCTTGGTCTAGAAGGCCTGAGCTTCTGAAATAAAGCCCACAGGGAGCTTCATCTTCAGGATCCAGAGATAAGACTCACCCACTCTGTCACTGACAGCTGCCAGTTGCCCATTCTTCTTGGTGCAGATATACTTGCCATTGCCAGCTTTGAGGGCAACACGGCGACCACGCCATTCAAGATCAAACATAGTGCTGGCAGATCTGAGGGAACCAAGGCAGAAGGGAAGAGCTCAGATCAATGGGAGAAACAGAAAGAAGAAAGTATTCATTCTCTCTGAAGATTGTGCTCTTTCTGCTCTATTAGATATTTATTACATATATAAACCCCACATACAGTACACTAACAACATTCCACAACATGAGAGGAAGATTTATGGAATCTTGATACATTCATAAAAATTGTACCTTGGATTGTATTGCCCACGTGCAAGTTTATCATGCTCTATTGCAACTCTTCCTGCAGGTTTAGGTTGTATTAGATGCATTAGTATTGAGCTTTACCATACCTTAATTCATTGGGTTTACAGGTTGTTCCCAATGGAGAGCAAACATGTCCTACTACTCCTCTGCATTACTCGTACTACTGCACTTTTCAATCCACAAACTGAGAGGTGTGTGTGGTGGGCAATTTGCCTCACTAACTGAAAAATAAAGGTCAGGAAACATATTTGCAAGTGCACATTCCACCTAAAGCAGGAGCTTGATGTGGCACGAGTAGCTGGGTATTTTTCTCTTTCTTCTGACACAGCTCTGCTGAACGGTAGCATGAAAGCATCCAGGCTATTTTCAGGGGCAGAGGTAGGTTTTCCCTAGATATGATAAATCTCCATAAGGACAGGGAACTTCAATGCTTCATTTCATTGCTAAGTCCAATCAGGCGCTAGTCTTTTAACAGAGGTTCAGTTCACTGAAGGACAGTAGGGAGAAAAACAATTTTTCATTAGCATCTACATCTACATTCCAAGAGTTAATCCCACTCACTGTTAAATATTCTAATTTTATTCTAATCTGCTTTTGTCCAGTTTTAGCCTCCAGTCTTTAGCTCATGCTTGTCTGGATTAGAAAGTTCTTAAATGCTCCTGCTTAAAAGAAGTGTCACATGTTAAAGGTGAAGTGAGGGCACAGTTGGATGAAAAGGCACAGAAGCTGTTGTTGGATCACCCAGATTCTAAAATAAAAACAGCTAAAAACAGCCAAGGAGGTGGTGGTTGTTCTTTATTGTATTGAAATGAGGACACTGAGAAAAGATGTTATTCTTTTTCCTCATGTTGTTTTCCAGAACTAAATTATCTTCCTGAAAATACTATTTGCCCCAGGGAGGTGGGGAAAGTGGGAGGAACCCATATGGATTTCTACTGAACAAACAGTAGCTTCTAAAGGGGAGGTTTTTTTAACCAGGAAATGATTGGGGAAAAGGTTGACCCTCTTCACTGCAACCTCAATCCCATTCCCCCTCTCCTGAGGGTGCTTTTAATTTCTCAGCATCCCAGATCTTCCACAGACTCGGTTGTGTGGTCCAAAGAGTCCACCAACATATTCCCCCATCCTATTATCAAAAGTTCTCAGGCAACTGAGAAAACATTTCAACAACAACAACCTGCATGTTGACTCTCAGTGATTCTGTGGCTCACAGCAATCAAACAAAGAAATTACAATAAAATCAACGTAGAATCTATGGGATTAGATTCTGCAGAAGAGAACCACAGAACTGGTTCTCATCAAGTAGTTCAACTATTTTGGCCTTCCACCAACTGACTGGCAGTTATTTGTGTAGAAGCAGATGAATGTTTCGTACAGGAATAACTTTTTTGAAACACCCACACCATCCAAATGTCCAACCATTGATTCCCACATCATGTGCGTGTGTTTTCAAAGGATGGAATCATTTCCATAGGACATCTTTCAACCGGTTCCACTCTTATGTGTTTGTCAATGTTATTGGTTTGAGCAAGTGGGGGGAGACAAGCAGAGAGACGGTATTCTGCTGCTGGCGGAACAGCTGCTGCTGAAGGAGGAAGAGACACGTTCTTGAGAACTACAGCAATTGTCTAAATACAAACTCTGCAGAGGAAGAGAAAAGGGAGAGCAGATGTCAAAAGCAACATCCTGCCATCATGGCACAAGCTCCCCCTTTTGTACAGGCACAGAGATACTGCTGGTCTGCAGAAAAGGGACAGAGCCTGCACTGCAATGGGCAGTGCTGTTTTCGTCATTTTGATGAAAGCCTACAGTAACTCGTTGCTAAATCTGGTGGCCATTTCTCCCCTATGTTTGTTCTTCATTATGATGCCTAGTACAAGCTATAGACTGACTTCTTAAATTCTGATTACTTAAGGGCAGGCCTATGCAATCTTCTTAAGCAGAGGGGCTAGAGACCATGCCACCCCTGCCATTTCTGGGGGACTAGTTGCTTTGCCTGCCATTGCCATCACCAAAATGGCTGCCCAAGGAGGTGGCAAGTGATTTCTCCCGCTGCCTCACAAGATGGGGAAATATATTCTTTTTGGGACCATGGGCCAGATGAACCACATCCGGCCCACAGACCATAGATTGTCGACCTCTGCTTTAGGGACCTGCCAGCAAGATAAAGATGCAGTACAACTCACATTTCAGTAGCCATAGCTTGAATCCCTCCATGTGCCACCAAGGTCCAGTAGTTGCCTGTGTTGGAATGGAAAATACACTTCTTGGTTTCTTTGTCAATCTGCATCTGGAAGGTCTCGTGGTGTGTCTCTTCATCCTGATTGGCTGAGACATTAACACCTAGAAGGAAGAATGCATTTTCAAATCATTTAGATTACCAGATATCTCAATTCACCACTGATCAAGTCTGTGAGAACAGATGTGAAGCTCTTCAGAAAAGGCTCAAGATACATGGAACTTGTAAATAATTACTCAAAGAATTAAACAGTATAATATGCTTCATTAACCGCCCATTATTAATGATAATCAGTATAAACTGATAGAACAATTTATAATCTCTCACTGATACATGACAGGCCCCAACTCTGCTCACCTTTAGGAAAGGCTTTAAGCCCCCCAGGCATTAGGGGCCAGTTGAATGACAGTCCCCTCTTCATTGTTCTGTTATGTTGCATGGTCACCATTTTTTATTTTATATTTACATTTGTTTATTATAAAATATATTTGTGTATTTATTTATTGTTATAGGGTGGCTTTTTTCTTATTTGATTTATTGTTTGATTTTTTTATGCTGTACGCCACCCAGAGTCACACTGTTTGAGCTGGGCAGCCTTATAAATCTTAAAAATAAACAAATAAATTGCTATCTATTTTTCCTTTGTCTTCTTAATCTTAAAGACCAAACTAAAAAGTGACACCATTCTCACAACTATCAAATGTGTGGACATATAGTAAATAGAAGGTCCAAGAGGCTATATATATGATCTGGATGAGGGAAAGCATAATGGACCAGGCTTACAATTTATTCTTTAAAAAAATAGTCATGTGTGAATTATGTGAATAGTGTTGCATGGAGCTTGGTCCTCACTAATTTGCCTTGCCTAAGTCTCCTTTTCTATCCCTTGGAATATGTATTTATTTACTTAACAAATTTATAGGGCCAGCCATCTAGGGCAATGAACAAAGATAAAAACCATAATTGTCCAAACCAATTAAAAAGAAAAACTGAGTCGAGGCTCTTAATGAACATCTAATACAAGCATATCACCTACACCTATACCAGAGCTCCATTAACATCCTGGCCCCAGTGCCTTGGGGAAAGGTCCATGGACTTCTGGAAGGCCAGCTGGTTCAGGGCTGTTTATATCTCTGGGGGGAGGCTGTTCCATAAGACTAGCACCATAACAGAGAAGACACGCTTCCAAGGGCCCACCAGGTGATACTATTTCACCAAAGGCACCTAGAGCATGCCTACTCTACCTGATCTGGTGGGATAGGCAGACACCATTGCAAATAGGCAGTCCCACAAATGATAAGGCCTCATGGCACATAAGTGTCAACCAACACCTTGAATTGCACCTGGAAGGCTACTGAGAACTAGTGTAGTTCACATAACAAAGATGTTATGTGGGGGTACCTTACTGCACCCAAAACTGTATGTGCTGTTGCATTCTGGACCAGCTGAAGCTTCTGAATGGTTTTCAATGGCAGCCCTATGTACAGCATGTTGCAGTAGTCCAATCAGGAGGTGACCAAGGCATGAGTGACTATGAGTAGTGCTTCCTGATCTAAGAACAGCCACAACTGGTGCACATGAAATATTTGTGCAAAGGCTCCCCAGCCACAGCTGCCACCTGCTCCTCAAGATGCAAATCTAGAAGGAGTCCCAGATTCTGCACCAACTCTCCCTGGGGCGAAGATAGAACATCACTAGATACTAGGGGCCCTAAAACCCAGAGCCACTCATTTTTTTTCAGGGTTGAGCTGAAGCCAGTTTTTCCCCATCCAGATCTGTACAGCTTCCAGGCACTGGGAAAGTACCGTGATGGAATCATCTGGATAGCTCAGAGCAGAGATATATAAGTTAGTGTCATCAGCATACTGATTATTCTTGACCCCTTGCCAATAGATGATCTTGCCCAGCGGTTTCATGTAAATGCTAAAGAGGAGTGGGAAGAGAGTTGAGCTCTGTGCCATCCCACAAAGCAGAGCCAAGGGCTGGACCTCTCCCCCACTACCAACACTGACTGAAACTTGGAGAACCACTGAAGGACTATGCTCCCTGCTCCTAGCCCCCTCAGCCAACCCAGAAGGATACCATGATTGACAGTATCAAAAGCAACTGAGAGATCAAGGAGGGCCAGACGCCATCCACAAGTACAATCAATGCTGTCTTGCTACTACATCGTGGCCTGAAACCCAACTGTAAGGGGTCCAGGTTATTTATTTATTGAAAACATTTGTATAGCCACCCATTTTAGAACCAACTCTGGGCAGCTTACAGCCAATAAAACAATATATACAATCATTTAAAAAGATAAAATGATAAAGCTAAAACTCAGAAAAACCTCGCGCCACAACCACAACCCACATTCTCATCTGATCCTGATCTCGTGCTATCCCAACTTGGGGGAAGAGCCGGATCTTGAGTGTTCTCTGGAAGGATAAAAGGGCAGGGGCTATCAGATCTCAGGGGGGTGGATATTCCATAGGACAGGAGCTGCAGTGGAATCTGCTTCCTCCAGCCCCCTTACAAGCTATAAGCCAGAAAGGGAAGGTTGGAGACTGGATGGAAATTGTCCTGTACTGCTGAGCCCAGTGATGACCTCTTGAGGAGGGTTATTCCTTGTTGAACTCACATGACTCTTCACTGGGAGTGGACGAAACATTTTGAGTCCAGAATAGATTCTGACTTTCCTGGAAGCCCTCCAGATGGCTGTTTTGAGCTTGAGACAACCATGTCAGGCTCAAAAGTTTCTGAATTCAAAATGCTTTGCACGCTTATGATCCTCACTAGCATCCCAGTTATGCCAGATTTGGGCATTATATTTGTTCTCCCTAATCCTGAACATCTGGGAATTAAGGGAAGTGAAATCTAGGCCACTGAGAAAGACTGCATGACCCAAATAATCTGATGTCACATCTAATCTAATTGGGAGCCTGCATGCTGCTTATATTGTATGTAACATCTTCCCTCTCACGGTCTGGTTTTACCTATGCTTATTATTTTAACGGTTTTGTAAAATGTTTTAATTCCTGGTTTTATTGTACGCTGCCCAGAGTCACTCTGGGTGAGATGGGTGGCCATATAAATTTGACAAATAAATAAATAAACCACACCAAAGCCTTATGATGCAAGTCTTTCCCTCTTATTCCATAAATGCTGGGGTTTGCTCTAAGATAGGTATCTTCTGAAGCCACAGTTACTAGAATTGTGGGCAAAAAAAGTAGTGTAGGCTTTAAAACCAAGGAGGTCCCCAAATTCTCTCCAACTCTGCCTCAAATCCTTGACAATCATGGGCCCACCCCCTTTGCGTCATCACCCTACCAATTGAGGCCTTGTACGTTGGGTGGCCATATGTGGTGCCTACCCATCCAAGGTTTGCCCACTGGTAACTAAAACACCCAGTAAGTTTGTTTTTAATTCAGGTCCGATGTTCTTAGTATGGTAATAGTAACCTAATTCTCAATGCTGACCATAATTAGGAAGGCATTATGCAGGCACCGGAGGAGATATGTTAACAGCACATTATACCCCAGTTGAACGGAAGGCTTCTCCACCTGATCCAAAATGCTTGGTAGTCAGTCTTCCAAAAGATGGAGAATCAGGTCACAGACATAGTTATGTATTAGCAGGACAATGTTCTCATCAACTCCAAAACTGCAGCCATTGGCTTAACGACATGCCAGGATGAAAGCGACATAGCAAATAGATATATTCCTGCTCCTTACCTTCACTGAAAGCATAAAGGAAGGTATTTCATCGCCTTTGTGCCATCTGGATTACAATCAATCATCTTGGAAGGAGGAAGGACCCACTCAATCCAGTCCCACTTGCCAAGTCTTCCAGTTATCTGGCCCACCCCTAACATCGCCATGCTAGGAGGTCATTGGAAAGGGAGTCTATATGCAAGCATTCAGCTAGTTGCCCAAGGAGTCAAGCTACTTTACCAATGTTGCTACAGCCATTGCCTGATAATGACAGCTACATTTGCCAGTGGGTATTAGCCCAGCTTCTGAAGTCTTCTAATGCAGGGTAAATCAAGAGCAGGAGCACGTTTCAGGCATTAACAAAAAATGCAGGTGACATCTGCACTGCTGAACAAGGGAATGGCATAGAAGCAACCTTGGACCATGACCAAAAGTTATCTGTTTGTTTTTATTTTTTAGCAGTGCAGGAAACAGAATATAAAATGGAATCCTGATAACATCTACCATGGCTATATGTTTTATACCGGATATCTGCTAACAGTGGAGGGCCTCTCATCTGACCAAGTAGAAGCTGAAATAATCCAAGAGATGCTGAGACAAGGGAATGTGAAAGGCACCCAGAGATTCCTGGCAATGTTAAATGACCTGGCAAAATTTTGCAAAGGTCCTGCAGATTACAGTGAACACAACAACTGACACAAGGGAAACTGAATGGGAATGGTCAGAAAATCACTGGCAGACAATAGATAAGATTAAGGACAGAATATTCAAGATCACTGTACTCTGGTATTATAGTCTAGGAGAGCAATTTATGTCTCAGAGGGATGCCTCAGAGGCAGTGCTAGGAGCTGCATTGTTACAACACCAGCAGCCTATCACATATGCTACAGAGCCTTATCTGGAAGAGGGGGAGACTGCAAACAGAATAAAAAAGAACCGTTGGCTGTAATGTTTGGGAGGACTGCTTCCATCACCTAGACACTGCAGGTAAATTTAGATCATAAACCTGTAAAGCACTGCTGAGTTCCCTAAAGAGGCTTTAGAGGATATGGATTATGATGTGTATGTTGAACTACTGTACCCAGGTAAATATTTCTTAGTGGCAGATTCTTTAAGTAGTGCCTTCCTCTATAAACTCAGCAATAAGCGTTCGGTAGAGAAACAGAGCGGATGACTACCTGTTTTACTGGGGGGTGGGGACATGTAGACTGAAGCTTTACAGATTGTTGGGAATATGGATGATGGGTGGCCTGAGACAAAACATGAACTGCCAGTGGAAAACTGCATCCTCATGCTCAAAAAGGGATGAGTTTAGCATCTGAGATAGGATTAATGTGATATTTCCAACCCAGTGAAGGACAAGCGGCAAAAGAAGACTTGCATTCCCATGAAATGCTGTTTCAATGTTG